AAATTTCAATTCTCGCTGGAATTCGGTGGGGCGCTTCAAGCGCAATGGCAGAGACAGAAAATGGACATACCTTTTATTCTGTGAGATTTTCACTAGCAGAGGTGAGAGGTAGGTAATACTTCACCAGATTTATGGCGTTGTACTTTCCATTGACATAAGAGCTTCTCGTTCTGATAACGTGTTGTAAAATTGACGGTGTGTGCAGTGGAATAAATGAAACAAGACACAAAATTTACGAGGTTCCTCTACAGTCAATGTGACTGGAGTACATCCTCGGGGCAACAGTGGTGCTTTCATTGCGAGTCTGGAATAATAATAGTACAAAGATAACTCTCTATTATTTCCTCTCCTCTTCCTCTTCCTCTTTTCTCTTTCTTCCTCTTCCGTGAACTTCCTTACTACTCTATATATTTTGATAGCAGTCAGAGCGCTCTATTTATAGAGCAACTCCATACAAACATATTCTTGCATTTTGAAATTTATAGCACATGACTTTGAAAATACTATCTCCTTTATTTCCAAAGTCTACATCACTTTGTGTGGGTATTGAAAATCTATGTGTGGACATTGAAAAATTCTACCAAGGTTTTCAATATCACTGTGGGCATTCATTAACCCACCAGTATTTTCAACAAAATATTCATTAAAAACTGGTTTTTGTTACTTAACTAAAAAAGTGAAGTAGTTTTTGGTGAAAAAACAAATGCCAAACAGGACCTATTAATGATTAATATAATTAACTCTAAAAGAGTGATAGGATCTGACACACCCCGAGCCGGGATGTCCACTAGGACTCCGAATTGGGCTGTGATGGTCGACACCTGGATGGTGACGAAGCCATAAAGTATGATGATGTGGAAAAAAGTAGATAAATTTAAACCTAAAAGTGTTTAAATGTAAGAGTGCGCTATGAGCGAAAATGAATCCATTTCACACGTGACGTCAGAGCATAAGTAAAGTACAGTAAAGTGGATCAAAATTCATACCATTGAAGGTAATCTCCAATACGAAAACTTGCCACGAATCCTCGTCGATACGAAAGTTCTGCTACTAGACCTGGAAGGATAAAAACTAGAGTGAGTGGCCATAAAATAAAGCTTTAGTAAAGACCTTCTAAACGATATAATCCATCTCCGTAACACATGTTTAGCTTCCAGAAAATCATACTATGGATAAACATGAAATCAAGGGTATACTAACATTAAATCCAGAAGTATGCCACATCACAGCATCTTGTTAGCAATATAAATAATCAAGTGCTTAATAACCAATACTAGCACGCCAATCAGAGTCACCTCTGCTGACCTGTACGACTACAACCATATCTCATTAAGCAATGCTAGCTCATAAGTCGGAGTCACCCATAGTGACCTGTACGACTTATCCATATCAGAGTCACCTCTAGTGACCTGTATGACTTATCCATATCTCATCACATATGTTAGCTCATAAGTTGAAGTCACCTATAATGACCTGTACGACTATCTATAGTTCAATAAGTATACATGCACACGAGTCGAAACCACCTAAAATGGTCTGTACGACAAGACTGGGCGTAAATAAATACGCTCAAGTGCTACGATCACGTGAAGATTGTGCGAATAATCGTGGGTCACCTACGAGTCGGAACCACCTAAAGTGGTATGTATGACAGGACTGTGCACCTACCTTGGATCCAAGGTGAGCGTAAGGTGTGGGAGGTGAACATCATGTGAAAGACTGTGCCTCGCCACGGGCGGGAGCATTACACCAGGGTGCAGGTTTATGAGCTCTCAATACATCTCAACATAACATGTACGACTCATGGGCAATCCGTACAACAGTGTCGGAGTTACTTAAAACATAATATAGTCATGCCATCACTCGATCTTTCCAAATAAAATGTAATCATAATTATGCATCCCACGTTTCACAACATATACTCACCTAAACTTATCTATGCATCCCACGTTCACCTACGTACCTTAAAGCATTCATAATAATTATGCGCAATAATATACTTATAGACATGCCTTGATGCAATTCAAAACTTAACCTTATCGTAGTGCTTCCAAATATATATATATATATATATATATATATATATATATATATATATATCAATAATGTGGCATAAAATTCACAATCTATGATGCTCTACTCCCGAACTATAAATTTTAAGGAATAATTATCGATGACAAGCTCAACTAAACACTAGTTTAACTAACTATCAATACTTACAATTCTTTACTTCAAATTCTTGATCCTTCACACAATGATTTATGACCAACATCCAATCCCTGAATCATAAGGTTAAATCTCACATTTTCTACCAATGTCCCTCACCTTGCACAATTTCCCAAACAAGGCTATTGTCTCAATTATTTAATCTCATTTATGTTATGGCTGCATCTAACGTTTCGTTAGACTACCTACGTACCCTAAACAGGGATCAAGTCATTCGTAGTTCGCATTAGTATTTCACGACATTCACAATAATTATATGCAATAATCAGTTTATAACCGTTTGAGGACATATCAATCATATATATATATACACACACACACACACATGATAGAAAGGAAAAGACTCACTCACCTGAGGTCCACGCTACGACTCCCTAGCACTTATATCAAGACATCACAAACCATCGTCGCATGTGGCCAAGTCCAATTTGGCTTGGAAAAGCCCTAATTTTGCTAAAACCCGCCGGAAACCCTAGATTTGGTGACTTCGATCCGTCACCTCCGGTGCTCCGCCACCTCCAAGGTTGTTTGAGCTTTGTTCTAGACCTCAAGGGAAGTCAATTGGCAGTGGTAATTGTATGGAATTGTTTCAGAAATGGCAGATTGCCGCCGTGGGTGCCCTCGAAGTCGTTGGTGCAAAATCACAAAACCTAAGCTTAAAATCCACCAATTAATGGATGAAAAAGGAAGAGGGGAGGTCGTGGGATTGTTTCCAGGTGGTGGTTTGGGTTAATTCACCAAAATTTGGCTGGGAAACCATCGATTTCTATGGTTCCTGTCGGTCAGGTCACATGGGTCAAGGAAGACCCGTTTTGGGTTCCCTCATTTTCTTCTTCTCTTCTTTCCCTCCTGGTTCTTCTCTCCCATTCGTCATTTTCCCTCTCTTCATTTCTAATTGGGCAGTGCCCATCTTCTTTCTTTCTTTTTCCCTTCTCCCCTCCGTTTCTTCTTCTCCTTCTTCTTATTTCTTACCCCCAAGAAAATCTTAAAATAATATAATGGTACTTATGAAATTATATAAAATAATAAATGGTAATATCATTACTCCAATCCGCTTCTACTTGCGCCTACGCGGCCGTATTGTCGAGTACTACATGAATAAGCTAAAAGAATATTTTGTACGTCTCACTATACGTTGGTAATGGAAAGTCAATACCCTCACCTCTAAGGGCATTTTCGTAAATTCATACTTTTTAAAATTTATAAAATCGTAGAACTAGGAATGGGTTGTCACAAGATCAGTCGCTCATGCATGTATATTAATTTTGACCACTTTGTAAATATTACAAACATGAATGATCAGAATCAATCTATCAACAAAAAAGAAAATCAAAATCAATCATGCACATGTGTGTAAATTTGTTTTGATAGTTCTTTGTAGCTTTACAAGCATTAATAATTATGACAATCCCACACGTGTACGTGACTATTTCTAGCATTTCCCCTAGTTTTAATTAAAGAATTGTTCTTGCATTGATAGATAACTAGCCTTTATGCAGGCGCTCATGCACGTGCAGAAGACATTTTTGAATTACAGCGTGCTACGTGCGATTTACATATTTTAAATATATTTATATGTGTGAATTGACAAAAGGAAAGTCAAATATTTGAAGTAAATAAATAATCTTAGATCATGCTAGAAAAACATCCTCACAAACCAATTAAAGCAGCTGAATTCAAATAATAAAATCGGTCTTTCAATTTCCATCTACATTATTGCTAGCCCATTGTGAGGCTAAGCCCACCCCCTCCCCCCTTAGTGTAGATAATATCGTTCGTTCAAAACAAAAACAAAAAGCATTTTTGTTCAAAAATTTTGGGTGAAGCTTGTAACCCCAAAAGGGGTTGTTGGCTTTATATATAAAGATTTGATTACTAATTTAATCACACTATTATGCGCATGCGTAAGACTTTTTTTATAACCAGTATTACGTGTCTCTTAAGATGTTTTGAACGTGTTTAAAAATAGAGAAAATAATATTTAATGAACAACTAATTGAATCACATTATTGCTAACCTATTGTAAGTTACTAATTAAAAAAAATGTACAAAAAAATTTAATTATTAAAAAAAAACAATGGTAAAATGATGAAAATACCCCTACATTATTTGATGCATTATTTTGAGTTACTTTTGATTTTTTTTGTTTTGGGAGCATTTTTTATCAAAACTTTTTTATGAAGGTTGTGACCCCAAAAAGGGTTGTTGACTTAAAGATTGGGGGACTTTTTCTTCACTTTCACATTAAACAAAGGGTACATGCCTAACTTTCTTCATTTTCCATATTTGCAAATTTTCTAAGTTCCAGATTTTAACTTCAATATGGCAACTTGGCCAAGAGAAATCTGCAAAGAAACCAAAACAAAGAACACAAAGTAAACAGAAAAATTTGGATAGATCATGTCAGTTTTAACAAAAGCGCGAGACTATTTTGTATTTTTCTTTTCACTTAACCCTATACAGATCTTACTTAATGTGTTGTTGTAGTCAGTCAATGCTATTAAAAGTTTTTTCCTAAGTAACCAATGCAGTCAAAAACCAAAAGGGTATGTAAGAACCAGAAACTCATATGCAAACAATCTTGCAATATTAATTATGGATTCGAGGAGCTCCTATCTGTTATCTTTGCCCTATAAATTAACACTTCTAGAAATTGTTGTTTTTCTTTTTTAGTGTCCTTAAACGTGGGTTGGTCATTTGGTCTGAATTAATTAGTACTAAATAATAGGCAAATCCAAGTCGCTCTTGCAGGCAGCCGAAATTGAAGTCAAGGCTCCCTTCAACAAATCCAAAGAAATTATGATCCTCCTACAATATTTGGGAACTGTATATGAAAAAAAACCTATTTATAAATTAGAATCCACTTAATCACCACTTCCTTGATTCAGAAGTTAGCAAACCAGCAAAGCAAAAAATTATGAATTTTGGAAAGGAGGACCTTGATCTGGTTTTGGTCCCAAGTGGACTGTTCATCATGCTTGTCTATCACATCATCCTCCTCTACAGATATCTCCATCAACCTCACACCACAGTCCTTGGCTTTGAAAACAATGACAAAAGAGCTTGGGCTGAAAGAATTATGCAGGTAATTACAATCTCTCCCTCTTTCTCGATTAGCGGACCGGATTATGTAACAACTTGACAGGCATCGGTGCAAGAAAAAAGGTTTTGAGATTTCCAAAGTTGTGACCCTAGCATCCAATTTGGGTTCATAATGCACATGTTGAGTTGCTGCATAATCTGGTCTGCTACCTATTACCCTAGCATAACCTAATTTTCATTGCACCTAAATAACTTTAATTGCAGGTTGACAAGAGAGATGTTGGCACAGCCTTAAATGTGATCTCATCCAACACATCAGCAGCAACTTTTCTGTGTTCCATCTCCTTGACTCTCAGCTCCCTCATTGGAGCTTGGCTCGGAAGTAATTCAACTAAGACAGTCTTCCAGAGTGAATTGATCTATGGCAACACCAACCCATCAATCCTCACAATAAAATACCTAAGCCTCTTGACTTGTTTTCTTCTAGCCTTTGCATGCTTTGTTCAATCAGCAAGGCACTTTGTCCATGCAAACTACCTGATCAGCATGCCGGATAGTAACATTCCGGCATGGTACGTGCAGATGGCGGTGATAAGGGGAAGTGATTTCTGGTCACTTGGGCTTAGAGCACTCTATTTTGCTCTTACTCTTTTGCTGTGGTTTTTTGGTCCGATTCCGATGTTTGTTTCCTCCATGGTTTTGGTCATAGTTCTACATAACCTTGACACAAACACCAGACCATTGCATCAGCATCAGCTTCCGGGAAAGGAGCTCGTTAAACACACCGGCGAGAGAATCTCAGAGGTGGCTGTGACCATTCAGCATCATACAGAAACGGTTAAAACTACGACTAGTAGTACTGCGTAATTGTCAATCGTGTATGCATGTTTGTTTGGAGTTGTTGGGTAGTAGGTTTCCTTAGCTAGTAGTGCTAATCGATTTATGTGAGTATACTGCCAAGAAAGATCAAATTGTAATTTGATTATAAAAATAAATAAATAAAACAATGTATTACGAACACCACGAAAGAGTTTTGGAAGCTAGAAATTGGGAGATTAACTTCAACATTTCCCTTCAATGGCCCAAAATTTTGTTAGTAGATTGGAATTTAGTATGATTATTACAAATAAGCACCTAGTATCCTCGTTTTGGGAAAAGAAAAAAAAATCAACTGTTATTGCACTCGACTACTAGTGCACTATGGATGAAGAGGTTTTTCTTTTATTGTAGTTTGATCCTAGTGTTTTTCTTTAATATTATCGGTTGTCAGAATTACTTTAGTCTAAAGAAAGCATTGCAATTGGCACTGTTCCTTACTGTTCATGGCTACAGTCAATTGTTTGCCACTTGATTTCACCTGATTTACAAGGAACCCATCAGATTTGGGTTGGGTTGGAAGGGTAATTATTAGAACTTAGAAGGGTAAATTTGTCCGTAGGGTTCACTGCCTTCGACTTCTTCTTGCTCTCTCTTCATTTCCCTCAACCTGTAGCCCCAGCGCCGCTCACCCCCATTCTTCTTCATCTTTTCTAAAACCTAGCCGTCCCTCCATCTCTCTCAACCCTAAACCATCTTCCCCTTCTCCGTAAAACCCAGAGGCCGAGAGGCCTGAGTCCACATCACAACTCGCCACTCCGGCGAGCCTCAACTCCATCAAACAACCACTAGCTCCCTGGACTCCCCTTTCTTTTCTCTGTAAACACCGAGACGCACCAACGCCTCAATTTTCCGACAAAACATGACTACAGCACCACCACCACTCGCTCCATCTCACAGAACCACTATCACTCACTCTGTTCTGCTCAGGAGACACAGGCGAGGCCTTTCACTGTGCACTGGCTCCTGCCACTGTTCGTCGACTTCTCCTACGAGACTCACCTCTCCTGACCTCGGTAAGCCACCCTTACACTCCTCCCTTATATTTTCAATTTGGTACTCGAATTCAAGCTTACATGTCTTTTAGTTTTTCATGCTTCTTTCATCCAATCATCATAGCCCTTTCCTCTCTGTCTCTTTATAAACAATTTCCAATTGGTTTTTAGAGAGAGAAAGTGGCAGCAGCAGCAGTGGGAATGAATAAGGACTATTCTTGTTACTATACTAAAGTAAATTTTATATTGATTGGCTAGTACTTGGAGATGTCGATAACCTATGCACTACAAGTTCGATTTTTACCTAACTTGAAACGTGTGTTTGAATACTCTTTATATAGGACTTGGATTGTCTGCCGTCCTAGTTGTGGTGCCCTTCCATGCCCTCCTATTTTGTGCGGTCACGGTTAAGTCACGTCAATATTTTATATTAATTTTTTAATGAGATAATAAGACAAAAAATAATAAAAATATAAAATATTGACGTGGCTTAACCGTGACCGCACAAAATAGGAGGGCATGGAAGGGCACCACAACTAGGAGGGCAGACAATCCTTGTCCCTTTATATATAGCCAAGACAAGTTGTTGGTTTCTATATTTTATTTAGAGGCAGTTGAATTGACAGTATTGCTTAATTAATTTTGGCCTAATAAAATTATTTTTTCCCAATAATAAAAGCAAACTTATGTATGCAACTTGTTTTATAGGACATCCTTGTGAAAACACATGTGTACATACTCCATATTAGAAGCACACATTGTCTTTTTTTAGAACCTCGATGATACTAAAGAAATTTATGAATCTAAAAATAAGAAGTTACACTTAGTCAAGAAGACATAAAACTTCTCTCTCATCAAATAAGAAAACAAAAAAAACAAAAAAAGATAGGGACATAAACCTTACCCTTCTTAAAAAAATAAAAGAAAAGGAGAGGGGACACAAACCTTACCATACATCAAGAGGGGGAGATAAACATGTAGGTCGGTATGCCCAAGAAATCCGAATGCAGAAAAAGAAGAATCTATATAGGAGGAGCGGCATGCCAAACAAAAACAAGCGAAGAGGAGAGATGCACACATTGACTTAAGGTTGTACATAATTGATAACCTAAGTAACTGGAAATTATCGCATTCACGATCAATGAAAATTTGATTTAACTCTACAAACTTGATAGTTCGTATGGAGCCATGGCCTACAATGCCAGTCACTTCTGATCACCGCCAGACTTTCTCAAAGTCGTGGCAAGATAGGATCACGACCGTCGCGACAGACAAAGCTAACATGGGAATAGGTCCAAAAAACCACAACAGAAAATTGAGAGCAAAGTAGAGTGCTCTAAGCCCAAGTGACCAAAACTCGCTTCCCCTTTCAACTGCTCTATCGGCTTTTTTCACGTCGCTTTTCGCGGTAGCTCCCGGGGTGGCTAAAAGGCAGTTTGAGTGAACAAAGTGCCTAGCTGATTGAACAAAGCATGAAAAAGCAAGGAGAAAACATGTCAAGATGCAGATGTACTTGATAGAAACGGTTAATGGGTTTGTGCTGCCATATATTATTTCACTTGGTAAGAAGTTGTTAATGGAGTTTGCCATCCAAGCTCCAATGAGAGAGCACAGAGTTAGAGAGATTGATGCTAAGCAGTGGCGGAGCCACCTTTAGACTAGGATAGGCTCGGGCCTATCCTAAAATTATTTTTTCCTAACAACTTTTACTATCATTAATTAATTTTATAATACCACTATCAACTTGAATTTGTGTTGTATTGGTCAGTCCAATTAACTTCAATCCAACAAATACAAAGCCTTAAATTTTTTGCATTAAAGATTCGAAATTATAGTTCTATACTAATATTAGTTGATCATATTCTCTGTTTCTTGCCTATCTACATTTTTTTTCCTTTGCTTGTAGACTATTATTTTGGTAAATTTCTCATTTTCCTCTATTAGATCGTCTATGAAATCAAGAAGAGAAATATTTCCTTTTTCCAAACTAGCACAAAAAACCCTTCAAATGCTCTCATACCTTCATGTTTTTAGAAAAAAATGTTATCTTGGCCACTATGAGAAAATGAATGCATGGTCAGTTACATTTGAATTTGATATCAAGAATGAAGAATAAATGGATGTGCTTATAATAATGTTTTATTTTCAACTCTTGATGTAGTTGATCATTTGTAATGAAGAATTAATGCATGGTCACTCACCTTTAAATTTGATACCAAGGCGGCCAAAAAAACGAGATAGTTTCTGCATATATTATGTCCATTTTGGTTTAAAGTGTGCCCCTCCTAACATGAATTTCTGGCTCCGCCACTGATGCTAAGGACGTAGTTGCAATTGTATTGGAGGAAATAACATCAAGAGCTGTTTTAACTTTCGTTGCAACTTGAACATCTTCACCCTGCGGCAACCAACTGTGAACAAATTAACACGGAACACGCAATGGCTCATAGCTCAAATGGTTAACAGCTTTCGTCCATGCACTTGAGAGGAGTATATATAAACGAATGTCCATGCACTTGAGAGTAGTATATATAAACGAACTTCACAAAATTAGGTGAAATCAAAGGATATTAAACTTACCTGCAAGATTTTTCCAACCCTATTTTTCTTGTCAATGTTTTCAGATCCAATGGCAGTGGAGAGAGGGTGATTGATGTATTTGTAGAGGAGGAAGAGGTGGTAGATTAGCACGATCAGCAGTCCGAACTGGACTAGCACAACATGTAAGTACTCCTGAAAACCCATAGCTTCCAATCTCATGGTGCTAAAAATGAAAATGCAGTAGAGCTGTGGAGGGGTCTTGTTCTGCTTATAATGGAGCTGCCCTGCCCGTGATTCTTGGGATTTTTCGGGATTCTTTAATCAAGTATCATGGATTGGACTTGACCGGACAGGAAAGGACGGAACTATTCCTTTATAAACAGAACAGGAAGACCCCTTACTCATCGCCATTTAGCACCAAGAGATCGGAAAACTATGGAGTTCTAATCATGCTGATTTACCACCTCTTCCTCCTCTCCTTTATAAGTACCTCATGCAGCCTCTTTCCACTGCCATTGGATACGAAAACACGGACAAAAAAAATTGGGTTGGCAAACTTCTGCAGGTAAGCATCATGTCTCCTTTTTTAATACAAGCGATATTTGAAGGACCTCGACTGCAAGGGTACGTAAACGCTATTATCCGTAATTTGTTTACTTTTGATGGGCTGCAGGACCAAGATGTTACGAAGAATGTTTTACCAGTTATTACTGTGGTTTCCTCCAAGTAAACTTGGCAGCAATCTCTCTAACTTCTGCTCTCTCATTGGAGCTTGGATGGCAAACTCCACCAACAATTTCGTCCCAAGAGAAATAATTTATGGCAACACACCGATCAGTTATTTCTATCAGGTACATCTGCCTCTTGACCTGTTTTCTCCTTGCTTTTTCATGCTTTGTTCAACCAACTAGCCACTTTGTCCATTCAAACTACCTGTTAAGCACTGTGGGAGCTACTACAAGAATCGATGGTAAAAAAGCTGAGAGAGCAGTTCAAAGAGGAAGTTCAGTTTCGGTCACTTGGGCTTAGAGCACTCTATTTTGCTCTCAATTTTCTTCTATGGTTTTTTGAACCTACGCCGATGCTTGCTTCCTCCATTGTAACGGTTCTGATCCTAAGTTGCCATGACTTCAAGAAGCCAGATACGAATCAGCAAGTCATCGCTATGTAAATGAAGGGTATTATTTATTTCTTGAGAATGAATTTTGAATAAGTTAAAATCATATATTCTTCTTCCTTGTTGGACATATTTGTTCTGTCATTTGTGGTTTTCATCAAGTAATAAACAATCCTATTCATGTTAGAAATTTCAATCCCTAATTGCACGAGGGGTAGTATAAGGAATAATGATAGTCTAGCATGCTTGATATGTCACCGGAATGGTAAGGCCAGCTTCTACAACATTTGCAAGCAAGTTGGACCTGGCCATTTAGATTTAGCAGCATCCAATCTTCGCTCCGGTTGAGAGAGGTCCAAAGTTCAAATTTCACGAACGATAATTGTTAATAAAAGAAACTTTTGTATGTTTCATTTGGAGCTTATGCAATAGGAAGTCAATGAGTGCTTTTAACAAATCCATGCACAATGGACTCCTCAGCTAATATATATGAGTAAAGGGGTCTTCTTGTGATAAGATTTGAGTTGCAAATTAGAACTTGCACAGAATATTCAGCATATGTGAGTCTCCATTTTTGCAACATCTTACAATGTCACTACTAGCTGCATATAAATTGGAAACTGAAGTAATTAAGTTATAGTATACAGCCAATCAAAAGCGAGTCAAAGTTTACGTTGTTAAACAAATCCCAAAATATCCCATGAATATTGGGCAGGACAGCTTATAAACAGAACAAATCCCCTCTACTGCATTATAGTTTTTAGCACCATGAGATTAGAAGCTATGGATTTTCTGCATTTTCAGAAAGAGTGCTTAGATGTGGTGTTGGCCCCAAGTGGGCTCTTGATCATGCTAATCTACCACTTCTTCCTCCTCTACAAATACGTCAATTACCCTCTTTCCACCGCCATCGGTTCTGAAAACAATGACAAGAAAGTTTGGGTTGGAAAAATCTTGCAGGTAAGTGCCGTATCTTCTTTTATTTCTCCAAAGTTCGTGATCTTTTGATTGATATTGGGGTAGGGGTGAATGCTCCTAACCAGTTCAGCTACGAGCCTTGCAAGTTCCGTGTTAATTTGTTTACCATTTGGTTGAATCAGGGTGAAGATGTTCAAGTTGCAAAGAAAGTTAAAACAGCTCTTGATGTGATTTCCTCCAATACAAGTGCAACTACGTCCTTAGCACCAATCTCTCTAACTCTCTGTGCTCTCATTGGAGCTTGGATGGCAAACTCCAACAACAACAACTTCCCAAAGCAAATAATATATGGCAACACAAACCCTTCAACTATTTCCATCAAGTACATCTGCATCTTGACATTTTTTCTCCTTGCTTTTTCATGCTTTTGTTCAATTAGCCAGGCACTTGGTCCACTCAGAGCAAGTCCATTCCTCCTTTGGAGGCTGGCCCAAAGCCCAAAAAAATAGGTTGGCACCCAAAAAACTCACTCCATCCCACAAAATAGGCCAGCCCAAAGTCCACCCCAGTTTGTAGGTCTCCCAAAATAGACTAAGGGAGGAACCGGCTTCTATGGTGGTGTCATGCTGACGCCATCATAACGTCAACGAAGGCCAGAAATTTTTTTTGTGTCAGGCACATGGGAAACACACGCGCATTCCCAACAAGGATATCGACGGCAGGCCCCGCGCTGCAGGCACACTAAAGGGGCACGAGATATGGCCACATGGCGCGTCTTCAGCCGTTGGATTTCCAACGGTAAAAAAAAATTTGAAATTCAAACCCAATGGCTAGTGACGTGGCACAATCTGGACCGTTCCATTTTCAGATCAAAGGTCTAGATTTTTCGGTCAAAAACTTTTAAAAATATAAAAAAAGGATAAAATGTCATAAATTAATGATATTTTTTTTATAAATAAAGAAAATGTCATAAATTAAAAATAAAATAATTATTTTATAATAAAAATTAATAATATTTTAGTAAAATAGACTAGGTTATTTAGTTTTAGGGATGAAAATGCACTTGGTTAATTACTATTCATTGCAGTCAATTACTATTCATTTGGGTAGGGGTGGAGTTGCTCCCAAAATACCTGTTGACTGCACCGGGAGCCACTGCGAAAAGAAGAAAGCCGAGAGAGAAGTTGAAAGGGGAAGTGAATTTTGGTCATTGGGTCTTAGAGCACTCTACTTTGCTCTCAATTTTCTGTTGTGGTTTTTTGGACCCATTCCCATGTTTACTTCGTCTGTCGCGACGGTCGTGATCCTAGCTTGCCACGATTTTAAGAACTCCGGCGGTGATCAAAAGTGCCCGGCGTCGGCCAATGCTAGAAATGAACGGTTATTGTTGGTTTCCTGAGCTTAACGTTTGTAGAGTTGAATCAAAGTTTCATGGATCATGAATGCAATAATGTAAGCCCTACTACTTCTTAGAACGTCAATGTGCAACAGTGCATGTAACATGGAGTATATACAGGTCTTTTGACAAGGATAGGATCATGCACGTTATTAGGTCAACTCAATCAAGCAAGTATATCAATTCGATTGCCTCTGAAAAATATAGAAACCTACCACTTATTTGGTTGTATATTAGAATATTCAAACGTGTAGACATGTTCTTTTACTTTATTTTATAATTATTGTAGAGAATGATTAGACGAGATTAGCTCTTCGTCAGTCGTCGTGTGCGAGGCACCAACCTTCTCCTGAAGAAGAAATGATCGTTGCACCCATAAAACCCCACGCCCTTCCCCCTTTATTAGATTTTATTAATAATATGAAGAAAAACAAAAAATAAAACAAGCGGGGAAACTAGATCAATACCCGTTAAAAATAATTAACAAAATCAATATGTTCTGGTTTACGAATTCTTGAGCTCCAGTGACTTGAAATTGTATTTCCATAATATTGATGCCCAGTATCCACCTCCTCATCAACAATTTGCGCCTCATGACCTCGAACGGAAGACATATACTATCCAATCAATACAAAGTTAACTCATGTGGTCTTTTTGAGAACTAAATGTTTGCGAGAATGATCGTTTGGTCCAATAACAGTTTGGCTTAGAGTTTTTATCAACAAGATGGGTCTCTACATGTGTAATATAAAAGAGAGTTCTGAAAGACTTATCGTACTAGTAACCAATAAATTCCAATCTAGAAACCAAAAAATAGAGTGAATGGATGATGAATATTTTAAAAGTTTGATGTGCTTTTGCTTGTCGTACTTTTTAGGTCATCCAACTTTATGTTCATACTGGAAAGATTAAATTCTTAAACTAAATTGACAAATGAAATCTTGTGTCACCAATAAAAAAATAAACATGTTAATCAGTACTTAAATAATAATTCAATCATCAACAACCATATTATTTGGTTTATTATGTTTGGGTTAAAATTTTGATCTCCCTAGTAGTACCCGTCGAATTTGTTACAAATGTAATGTTGAGTTTAGGGAGGATCGAGTCAGTATTTTGGTGTCATATGTATTCCTTGTATCAATATCTTTTGCAACTAAAACGAAAGAGTGGTACCATCTGCACACTTATTTTATCTTTCATATAGGCTTGTTAAAATTTGTACTTTGAACTTCTTCAATTCATCTGATCCGTTGATTAAAAATTAAACTTTTTTTATTAAGAAGATACGATGTTTCCGAGTGTCTTCATCCTGTGATAATAGCTCTGGGTCTACATGGAAATCAAAATTTTAAATCAAATTTACAAACCAAATAATGTGTCATCAATAATAAATAAGTACGTTCATCAACACTTAAGTAATAATCCAATCATTAACAAACACATCATTCGGTTTATAAAATTTGGTTTAAAACCTAAAGCATATGTTCATTTTTGGTCCATTTCATCAAATCTTGACCGTACGATCAAATACCAAACGTTTACCATACAGCATAACCCGACAGCCTCTGCCAGCGACAACGACCGATGCAGTTCCTGAGTGGTCCTCACGCTCCACACATATTTCGACACGTGTCATCCGATCTGGAGATAGGATTACCCTGAGTGCCTCACGCCCTGCAAGAAGGAAAAAAGGCAGACTGAAAATTTTCTCTGAGTCGTTAAATTACCTGCATCGCTGAGCTGTGGGGCGCAGATCACCGAAATGACGGAAATAGCCCTTCGTCA